GTAAAAGGTAAATAAATAGATGACAAATGGCTAGATGACAGATGATAGATAATAAACACCTAAATGATACATAAATGCATGATTGATGCACGAACAGGACATAAATACACTATATAGATAATTGGGACAGATATAACATATATATAAGTGGAATCCGTTCCAGCAGACATGGAATCACACGTAAAGCCTAGTGCACGTGCAACAAATCGTCCACTGACGTAATCGTGAGTTAAAACTCTGTCCCGTCGACAAGAATACTGGTGTCCCCAACACGGCATGACACGGGACCCTTCCGGTCCTCGCCACGCTCCCAGCTCCCCCTTTCTTTCACTGCCACGTCTCCCCGGGTCCAGGATGGGGCACCCCAGGGCGGGCAACCGCGTTTCTGTACCCCTCGCGAGGTGAAGATGGTGTTTACGCTGACGAATGATTTTCGCATTTGTAAAGGGCTGGGGGGTGGGGTGGGGCGGGCATCACCAGAGGTCGCGGTTCGTGCCGCGGAGGCGCTGTGAACTCCCCACGTGGCAGTGGGCGTCCGTGCGTTTCGGTGACTCACGGCCACGGCCACGGCCACGGCCACGGAGCAGGTGTCGCGGGCGGCATGGTCCCCGGAGCCCGAAGCCGACACGCGCTCGGGGACAGAGGGTGCTGGCTCCCGTCACGTGTTCCGTCTCGTCCAGACATGGGAGGACAGAAACGGGAGTTCATGAAGTACCCTTGCCTCCTGACGCCCCAATTCTGAAAGCACCCCCCCAATAACTCTCAGAGGAAAGAAGTGAATGAGGAAATGTGGAAAAGCGTAAGTGAAATGCCGCCGTCGCCGCAGAAAATGCAGCGAGAGCCCACGCTCTCCGCTCGACGGCCTCTGGACACTGGAGGCCGGGACCCCGAAAGCTGCAGGGCCGGGCCCCCTCCCTGGACCCGCAGGTCAGAGTCGGGACGGGGAAGGGCGACAGGAATGTGCACGTGGGAGTTTCCTCCGCGTCTCTGGCACAAAAGAGCGGGCAGAGCGGGCCGGCTTCGCGGAACACCCCCACCTGCTTCCGGGCCCCGGGGGCTCCCCCGGCCCGCTGACCCCCGTCCTGCTTCCTTCTGCATGGCCTTCAGGGCTAACGAGCCCCTCGACTCAAGAATCAGGGGTGGGGTGGACACCGGAACGGCCCCCACGTCTGGTGTTAAGCAATTTGCCCCTTTGCTAAAAATATGCATTGAAAACGGGGACCAAGCTACTTTTCCCACCGTTTAGGGCTTGCTATGGAAATGGTCAAAGCAGGCAGTTCTGCAAAAGGGGGGGGGGTGGACAAAAAAAGACAAAAAAACGCTGCACAGAATGGAGGCTCTTCCAGGAAGACCTACATTTCAAAACTTGCTGGGCGCTGGGGAAGCTCGGGGCTGTGCACACGCAGATGAGACAGCTCCCCGCCCCACGCGCTGTGTCTTTCTCAGAAATTCTCAGAAATTTCTCAGAAATTCTCGATGCCGGTGGCGATGCCACCTGTACGACAGTTGAGGACAGTCTGAACGGTCACACGGGGGGTCCCTTCGAAAGAAGCCGGAGCCGCCTGCTCGTCTCATCCTCAAACCCCTGGACGTTAAAGCAGGACAGAGTCACCTTTGGACGGGCCCTGAGCGACCTGTGTCCCAAAGACCCGTTTGCAAGGACGACGAGAAAGCAGAGGTCACGACTCCAGCACTGGTGACTCCAGACGGAAGATTAAAGACACTGTTTAGAGTCGGCGTCACCGTGTCACGTGATCTGCACCGATATCACGCCTTCCTCCTGTGGACGTCCCTGTCCCCTCCCCTTTCTCACAGACACCCACTGCCCCTGTCCCCTCATCGGGACCCTGTGTGGGCTTCTGCCTGAGTCAGCGCGTCCTCAACAGCCGTTCTCAGTGACCTCAGATACTCGCTTGTCACCTGTCGCTTTCGCTTCGTACTGTCAGGTGGACGTTTCACCTAATGGAAATGGACAGGGGTGTGGACCTGCAGGGCCAAAGCGTGGCCCTTTGCAACGCAAAATATCTGGGCACAGAAATTAAAGATTTGAATTACCCCCGACCTACGCACCTGCCACCACCCGAGAGTACACAGAGAGGCAGCTGTGATGCTGCCCACAGGCGTCTCTCTCTCTGGAGAACCTTGTTTTCTTCAGGAAGGGGACAGACAGGGAGGATGTAAAACACCCAGACACCCTTATGAATGGTAAGTGCGGGTTGACGCGTCGTTCACCTGGTGACAACGCCCACTCTTCCTGACCCGCAAAATTCTGCTAAGCAGCCAACCAAGCCAAGAAGAACCCTCCCTCGCGGATTGACTGCGGGCGCTGGCGTCACGGGCATGTGTCACACAGGTCGCTCGGGAGCCCGGCTATGTCTCAGGTTGACCAGAGGAGATTCGAATTC